TGAAAGCAAATTGCTCATTCCCATGCAGCTCATGAATGGCAGATAACATGGATATACGGAACATATTGACGTACAGAGGCACAATAATTATTCCTTCAAAAATGAACGGCCCAATTAAACCCTTGTATGACCGTCCAAAGCAGACAGTGAAAACATATATTCCCAGGAACAGGCCGTGGAGGCCCATAGAATTGTGAGACGTCAAGGCTCTCACATCTTCTAGGTAATCGCCTCACATATGGTGGTGAGATTGTCAGCCTTACGCTCCGGCCGCCATTTACTACCAGGAAGATTCCTGGTGCTCATTTCTGTTAGAGGCTGAGTCGACCCCAAGGTCATAATGCGGATGGAAGGATTAGGTTAACTGGAAAAGATCCAATGAGATCATCGGGTATCGGAACAGCGAACTTCCTGCTTGTAGCATAGTGCCTCAATCAACTATGCTACCTCGTGGCCCTCACCAGACAGTAAATCCTAGTAAATTGACCCCCTTTTGCACATGAATGTGTGGATTTTCTGCGGCCCACTACGCAAAATCATCAGACCAAACAATTTTGGTCACGAACTCCGCATCCTCGTGTGCCTTGTGTTGAAACCACTCATGAAACTGAACTCTTCGGGCAGGATCGTCGTCATTAGTGGCATGCAGCAAACTTGGGGGGGGGGGGTAAGCTTTCCAGTTAGCGCGTTTAGAATGCATTTTACACAGGATCCGCTAATTCCTGTCTCACGTGCACACTGTTTTGAAAACTCTTGTAGTGTTAGTGTAAACTGTTCCAACTCATAGCAGAAGAGCCCGACTCGTTGCTGCGCATCGCCTCCCAGATCTTTGCTTGTGTACCACGGGCCCCAAATTTGTCACGAATGGAGGTTCCTTTGCAAATTCTCCCCTCTGCTCTCTTCGTACTTCGCACACATTTTCAGATTTCCAATACCACTTCAAATATTGCGTTGTTCGAACGCCAGCCGTTCTGCCGCCATCTTCTTCTGACTGTCCTGCCATTAGATAAGGTGGCTCTGGTCTTCATATAACCAGCACCATCTTCTGAGTGAATGTCACACAACACACCGTACAATACATCTGTACACAACTTTGAAAATATCCATAAATAACCTCTATGAAAATGCGTGTGCACTTTTTGGCCTGCTTTATATTAACAGAATTGGCGTAAGAATTTATTAACAAGGAGTCGATCTGTTTGCCTGTGACCGTCTTATCGCAAGTAGCCCCTACAGAACTAGCCTGTATGTTAATAGAACCACATGCTAGGCCTCATATTTGTATGAAACCAGCGGTAATGACATGAGAAATAGCTATGTGCTGATTTATATACAAGACAGAAAGGTTGCAAGTAACTTCTATGCATAAAGAATGCAGGAAAGCATGTTCTTCCTTTCTTCTTGCTTAACTGATGAATTCGGCTTAAAGTTAATACAGGCAGATTGTAAAGCCCTGCAAGTGCCCGCACTTTGACCTAGCGGTGGTGCTTGTGTGGTCGTGTGATCCTGAGAGCTATGCTGGCGGTAGCGTAGCTACTGGTAAGGTATCCCATGCCTCACAGGTCAAAGGTGGGGTAGTGGGGCGTAGAATTGAAACGCCCAACCATTTAAAAGGCTCGAGTGTTGAGGAACTTTCAACAATTGCAGCCGGACGGAAATACCTAAATGGAGACGAAAGTCACTGGATCGAGGCCAATGGCGAGCAATCGCAAAAGAAGCCAAGGCCATCATGGACTGCAGCCCCCGCAGAAGAAGACTATAAACANACGTTCCTCCGAAACGTCGGTTAACACCACATATACACGGTGCCAAATCCCAGAAGACTGCATTCTTCAATCACAAAGAAAATCAACATGATTCCTTTCTGCCTACTAAGATGAACTATTCAATTTACACCAAAAGACGATGATGATAACATCACTAACACTATCACCAGCACCACACAACAATAAAAAAAACAACGTAGGTGTGCCATTGAATAATAAAAAGAGACTGCTATGAAGTTGGTGTTTTACATGCAGAGAACGGAAAACGTTACAAAATGTTTCTATACAGCAGCAAAGGGATGGGAGGATGCTTGTGTATTGTAAGGAAATAGGGATCTGTCAGGAGATCGCCGTGGCTTACTGGAAGGTACTGTTCCCACATGAATAAAGACAGCCACGTACGTTGCCCCCTGAATAGCAGTCTAGAGAGAGCCTCGTACTGAGACCGCCTTTCAATCGATTGCCACCGTTCCCAGTGACAGACTCATTAATATGAAAGGAGCACCGCTAGTATGGACGTTCCGAGAACAACTCCAGGTTGTGCTATTTGAAATTCCGTATCCTTCATTGGGCTCCATGCTAAATTGCTGCAGACACAATTCTAACGAGCGGCAATGATTTTATACTAATGAAAGCTATCGGCAAAAAATGGTAACCAACAGTAAACATATTATGTTTCATATGGACTTTACAATTGACCAATTCCTTCCAGCCGCACTACGGCCCCAAAGTCGACTCAGTCTCTAACAGAAATGACCACCAGGAAACTTCCTGGAGGCAAAAAGTAGCCGGCTCGTAAGGCTAGCAACTTCCCCGCCATCTGTGAGCCGATTGTCTAGAAAATGTAGGAGCCTTGACGTCTCAAAATCCTATGGGCCTCCACGACCTGTTGCAGGGATAGCTCTACCATACAGGCACACATATTATTTTCGTGCATTTCTTTAACGTTTTCCATAGTTATTTTTGTTTAAATGAACGGTCTATTAGTATATTTTCGTGGGAGTGTATAATTTGCATCTGCAAGGAGACGACTAATCAGGTTTCGACTGTTGAGACAAGACGTAGCGGCAAACATGTGAAAAATTGACGTTAGTTCTTCAGTGCTATTATAAGTGCACACTACTGTGCATTACATACACAAATTCCATATTTTAGCTCAGAATCGCAGAGCCTTCCACCATCTCTCTCTCTCTCTCACACTCTTCCTCTAGGAAGTCCAATTTTAACATAGCTCCCTGTACAAATAAGTTTCGTAACAATTAGTGAAAACTCTGAAATTACGCAATTTGGGTTCGGGTTACCACAAGAACGAAGAGTCATGCACTTGACGAAAGTAAAATACTGTTAAATGCAGGCCCCTTTCTAGGAAACGAGCGGACATCTTGGACACAAACAATCACTGGCTGTTAAACCTGTCCATTGATACGAGAATGGAAGTTGTAGAATCAACCGGCGAGTCCATGGATACGAGCAAGCAACAAACATTTCCTAGGATATCGCCACGCTGTACATATAAGCGGCCGTTCAGATAAGAACGAAGGAATTCGTAAATCAAAAGCGAGGCGTTCGTGAATCAGATGGCAGTTGTGAGCTGTCGTAAATGATTGTAATTAAGAGATATTGTAAAGACGGTGTCAATAAATCCGATCATAATTACAATCCAAAACCCGTTATCCTTAGTCACGGAGCCATAAACACGTGGCAATATGTATTAAGTTAGGAATGCGCCATCAGTCTAACAAGGGATTGCCTTCTCTGGAATCAAATAGCCTGTAACACGATTTATATACTAATATTTTGAACTTACCGCTGATTTTGACGTCAGTTTTCTATTTCTTCTAACTTTCAGTATACCACGCGTTACACTGAACGTTGTTTCATTAATTTACCTTTATTCTCTTTTGTTTGTTTCGTTGTTTAGTGGCTTATTTAACGATTGTTTATCTTCATCTGTCTATGACGTTTACTTTTCGTGAACCCCATTCAGTGTGCCGTGTGAAAACATGGAGAACGCATTGTACACGCACAAGTATTCCTCTTTTCCAGATCTTTTAAGTTTAGAAATTTGAAAATATTAGTTTCTTACAGTGCACAACCAGGAAGAGTGGTTGGTATGCTAACCGAGAAGACTCAGCCAGTCCTTCATGTGCACACTTCAAGAACGCAGAACGCATGCTTAGTGGCTTAAGTGACAAAGATACGCGCCAATTCGCTGGCAGCGGTGGGTTGGAGAACTGTTAGGGAGATTTCTTTTGACAGTCTGGTTTTGGCTTTCGGGCTGGACAGAGTAACATCGACGTGGCAGAGGGTCGCACAACATAACAGGCAGAGATGTCCATCTGCCGAGCCGTGGCCATGGACGCTAGACGCCTGAAGGCAATTCTGACGCCGCCGAGTATTCTCAGAAGTAAGTACAGGGAGGTCGTAATCACCGTGAGAAATGGTTACAAAATTACGAGCATTCAGTGAAAGACATGCGGCAGGGTGGAGTAAGAAACAATTGCAAATTAGAGTTAAGGCAGTCTAAGCACTAGGGCCTTGTCATTTGAATCACGTTCCCTACCCACGGGTAAGTCCTCGAAGATAATGTTATGTCGGCCACATGAATGGTCTGGAGGCTGTTACCGCGGGGAGGGAAACTCCACGATGGTTTGGGTGACGGTTGGTTTGAACCGGAAACCGCAATAGTGGAACAGGATGAGTTCAGATCTACCCTGACGGACAAAACAGTGGGACCATAACAAGTGTGTTTCGATCTCCGCTCGCCTGCCATAAGCAGTGCCACTAGTTGAGTTAACAGTACTTAAAAACGTTTCGGGGAAACCTTCCGCCAACACCTTCATGGTAGAATATACAATGCAGTCTGGTAGGTGGTCACCAACGTTTCGGAGGAAGCTGCTACTTCAATTTTCAGAGTAGACGATGTCCTGTATTCTGGGATGTGGTTATTTGCGTTCTGGAGTAACCTGCTGCCTCAATCTTCGGGACGGAAAATACCATGTAGTCTGCTGGGTTTTTACCAGCAGTTCGGATGAAGCAAATGATTAAGCTAGCATATCCTTCCAAAAAAAAATGGTGCCCACCTACCAGACTATAGTCTGCTATGATTTATAAATCATGATTTATAAATCATGGCCGTGAAAACCTTAGAAACTTATTTGCATCTGCAATAGATGAACATCAAAATTAATGACGAATACAAAATGTAAATGAAGGCGACGTTTCGGGACTTACTCCAGGAGGACTGCGCGCGCCGCCCGTGGGGCTAGGGCTCTTCTTGAGGTAGTGCGTGCCAACCGACCCTGCTGGGCTCTTCACAGCTGTGGGACGCCGGTGTTGCTGAAGGGCCAGGGGTTTGTCAGGACCTCCTCTAACTCCCTTCTTGCCACCCTGCAAGGGTTTGGAGTGGCGCCGGTAGCAGAAGCAAGTGACCGCCGCTACTGTGACGAGGAACAGCGTCGCTCCGAGACAGATGCCCACCAGCGCAGGCGTCGTTACTGCAATGAAAAATAGGAGCTTCATAACTTGTACTTTTCTCCAAGTATAATTAGAATGATAAGTCAAGGAGGATGAGGTGGACAGGGCATGTAGCACGAATGGGGGGGACGAGGAATGTGTGTAGGATATTTGTGGGAAAGCCAGAACGAAGGAGACCACTGGGAAGGCCAAGGCGTAGGTGGGTGGACAATATTAAAATGGATCTTAGAGAGATAGAATTTGATGGTATGGATTGGATTGATCTGGTTCATGATAGGGACCAGTGGGGCCTATTGTGAACATGGTAATGAACTTTTGGGTTCCATAAGTGCTAGGAAATTCTTCAGTAGCTGGAGATTTGGCTTCTCCTCAAGAAGGGCTCAGCTCCATGAGTGAGTACAACAATAAAGTCAGTGGAATGGATAAAAAGATGTATAATTTGTTGGTATTATTTATATTGTGAAGTGACGGAATGCTTTAAAAATAGAAGTTATCCGTTGTTAGGTAAAGGCACAATAAACATGCTCCAACGTCCAAGCGAGCCATTGCTTGGCAACGAATGGACACGCAAAAATAGAAGAGCTTGTTTGGAGCAGTCCTCTGAATTTTGCCACTACACGACTGCCCCCCCCCGTATCATCAGTTTCAGTCAACCGCCTGACCTTCCGTTCAAATACATGTTCGTGCCTCACGCGGAAATTCCACAGGCTGTCAGCCTGCTGTAAGGAAGCCTGTCAGCTGTCAAAATGGCACATGTTCGCCCACACAAACCATACCTGCCTCACCCCCTCCCCCTGCGAAGGGTGACGAGTCACTCTGATTCTTCGGTCGCCCCTATGTCTCGGCGTTCCGTCCCCAAGTGGACCAGAACAAAGGAACGCACTGATACTAAGCAACACGACACAACACGCCTGCTAATCCTTCTGACCAAAATTCATTGCAGGCCTGACTCTACCCGACCAAGATCTTTGCAGCTAAAGCACCCAACACACGCCAACATGCGCCAACATGGCCATCAGCCTCCCAGACACTGACTTGGAAACTCACACCGAAAATCAAACTAGGGAATTTATTAATTGTGTTCAGGGTTTCAACTCAAACTTCTCATTTCAGTACCTTCTGCAAACCATCTGTCATACTCCTGCAGTTCATGCAGCATCCATAACACAGCTAGCTCCATCCAAATCATATCAAATAACTTTCTAGGGAAACTCCTAGGTCTTCCACATAATCGATAAGTCCTTCATTCACACCGACATGTTATTCTGGAATGCAACGGCATTAAATAAAAATATACTAATTTATTAATTACCTGGATATCAGTAACATACCAATAGCATACTTAGTGAGACCCATTTACAGTCTTGCACGAAATTTACACCGGTCTGAAAGGCTAAATCGCGGATGGCGAAACAGCCATTCTAATACGTCAGGATTTCAAGCACTCCGAAAGTCTCCCTCCTTGCTTAGAATATATGGAAGCTAAAGCTGTTCAACCCAACATTAACACGAAATCCATAGTTTCGATATCAGTTTATACCCCTCCAGGAGAAATTAGAGAAGGATATTTAGACCTCACTGGAACCGGGCACAAAGCAATGCTCGCAGCTGCTTTCGCGCTAGGCAGAATAATGCGGCTGGACAATCTATCCTATATCATTATTACAAAAATAATAACATAATTTTCGCTCCGTCCCAGACTACGCATTTCCCAGAGAGAAATCCTAGACTTTGCCATCCTCAGTAAAGTAAGGCCCGATCATAACCCCATTTTGCTGACTATAGGTGGTCCATTAGAAGCGGACGAAATTACACCTAATTTTATCTGCCGGGAAGCTAACTAGAACCTCTTTCATAATTACTTAGTGAATAATCTGAATACTCAGTGCTTAAAGGGAAATAGCTCTAAGAAGGAGATTGATGTAGCGGTTAAGCCCTTTACAGAGCCAATCCTCATGCCATACCGTTGGAAAAGAGAAATTTCCGATCAGTACAAATTGCAAACTCCACTCGTGTTCTCATTAAAAAGAAGGAACCTTCGGAAGCAGCGGAAAGAACCCACTACATTACTTTTCGCCCATGTTAATTGATTAAAAGAGCAAATAGATTCAGTAATAAAAAAATTATCGAACATCTGTCAGAAAACTTTACAAGGGCTGCACACCAACAACATGAGAGACACCTGGAGGATAACTAAAAGGCTTAACCAACACTAACCCTAATATCCCGCCCCTTTATGTTAGTAAGAAAACCACGACCACAATGCAGGAGAAATTACACTCCTTTTCGGACACCTTAGAACAAATTTGCACCAAGAGTTCAGTTTTTGATCCTACATTTACAATTATCACTGAGCAGACTGTGTAGAGAATGACTTCCTTGAACAATCACTGACAGACCGGGTAAAGGTTCGGCCACACAGAGCGCTACGCTATGTTCGCTACGTACGCTGTGTACACTCTGCGACGCAGCTAATATAGGGAACATGGCGTACGTAGCGTACGAAAGTCTCTGTGGCCAGTCACATTGGCAATAAAGGGAGATATTTTTCTGTTCGTATAGCGAACATAGCGTACGTAGCGCTCTGTGTGGCCGAATCTTAAGGGCTACAAACCATTCTGAAATTGCTTGGATTATCCGCCACCTCAAACTACGAAAGCATATGGGTGTTACAGGACACAGAATACAATACTTCAATATCTGCCACGGATAGTTCTCAAAATTATTGCCAAAATATTTTATAGATCACTTGCCCTAAATTAATTTCATACACAATAGAAGAGGCTAACATTCGACGCTCCCGAAAGAAGGCAAAAATCACACGTCCCCAGTGACTTATAGTCGGATAAGCCTGCTAAATTTTTAGGTATTTTTTTTTATAAAATCATTTGGAAAGACCGAAGTTCTAACTTCGGAAACTGAAAGTTATCAGAAACGACCAATATTGTTTCAAAAGAGGACACTCCGAAATGCATGTATTGTTAAGGAACAAGGAAGCTACAGCAGCCTTATTTCTAGATCCTGAACGAGAATTCGACAAGATTTGGACCATAGAGATAATTGCTGAACTTATTACGGCAAAAATCCTACATCCAATAATACCCACAATACACAACTACCTCCAAAATATATTCTTTTGTGTAAAGCGCAGAAACTGTCATTCAAGCCTACTCCCCATCCGGGCCGGAGTACTTTAGGGTAGCTTACTCGGACCCCACACTCTTCAGTATTTACATTAATGACATTCCATCAGGCGAAAGTGACTCCAACATGGCTATTTCGGTCTATAGTGATGAGTACGTTCAGGCAGCACAAATTTATGTAGTAGTCAGGAAGTCAAAAGGTGCTCTCGGACTTTTAGAAAAGTGGTCCCGGAAATGGAGACTATGGATTAACACAAACATGCACAATTACACTGTTTTCCAAACGACTGCATCACTGTGCACTGTGCATCCAGTAAATATTTTTAACAAAAAACGCTTGAACTAAAGAAGGAAGGCGTTACGCTTGACCCCAAGTTAACATACAAGACTCACATATCCTGCACTTTGCACAAGGCTAATTACAGGTTGAAGCAACTGGTCCCTATCTTGAACAAATCCTCCGCCATTGACATTAATTTGGAGTTAGTAATTTATAAATCCATATTGTTACATGCCTTCCCCGCACGGGGCTATGCTACCAGCACCTGCATAAATAAATTACAGACGTTCCAAAGTAAAGTCCTGAGGATAGCGACCTCCATAGTCTAGAGGTAACGTTCCCACCTCATGACTCGTGGTACGCGGGTTCAAACCCGGCGGAGGTCGTCGAATTTTTAAGGGTGGAAAAATTCAGGGAACAAGTCCTCCGGGAGGGACTTTAAGCCGTGTGTCCCGTGTCGTAGCTTTACGGCACGTAAAAGAAGCTCATATCTCCAAAGGAGGTCACTGAGCCAAATTCCAGGACGTTTCCCGTCCAACAAATAGTCTCTAACACCTCTGATAGATGGGGAAGCATTATAGATACCGCCAAGCTAGTGGAGGCCGAACTCGCTGGCTCGGTCGGGACTGATGGTACGCACCAATATCGGTAGGATATAGAGACTGGTAGAATATCATAGAGGGAAGCACAATGGACCAATACTGCTCTAAGTGCATGGGGAAACCCACCCTCTCCAATAACTAACTAACTAACTAACTAACTAAAGTCCTGAGGATAACAACTAAATTACCGAGAGCCACGCTAATTGCAACCTTGTATGAACAGACAGGAATGTTATTAGGAAATCATAACAAGAGATCGGTGTGGGCACTGTATCGAAGGTCTGTATACAGAGAAACAAACAGATTGAGGAACTAGGACATTACGGTCCCATCCGTGATAAACATCTGCGTCCCTTATCCCTGCTTGCGAGGTAATCCGCTCGGTACGGCAATCTTAATACATAAGGAAACAATTAGCTTAAATTGGTCATTGTCACTAGCTCAATGCATATATCACTCTAGGACGCCCCCCCCCCTTCCCCGAGCACAAATTAAAAGAACGGAACATATCTTTACTGGTAGCCAGAATATTGAAAGCTTCCCAGAACGTCCAGCTCGTCGGCTGCAACATCGTCCATTAAATATGTTGGACAGTACTGTCACATGTTAGAGCGACTCTCGTCGGAGTTTTGGATTGGAAAACTGGATTTGTTGGCCAATTTACCACACGACTCGTGACCACACTTAATTATAGATCCATCGCTAACCTCTACTCGTACAGTCTATAAATCGCACCAGCACACGCTGCCTTTTCAGTCTGCTTTCACTTCTCGTTACTTGGTAACGGATCTTAACAATGGAGAGTCTTCAATTTCACTGACCAAGTGTTCTCTTCACAGACTCCCTTACAACTGACCCTTAACTCACGTACAACTGACTCTTTTACAAGTGACTAACTTCTAAACTTGCCCCATTGATAACCCCTCGGTACGGACCGCGTAGAAAACACCGTTCATTTTTTACTCCAAGCGTTTCCTTGCGAACACGTTTGCGAA